GAAATAATAATAAGGATAACATAGCCTTGGAAATTTGGGGGTTTCTGACAAATATTCAGAATACAGTGGAAAAGAAATGGAGGGGTCCAGTTTCTGAAAGTCTAGCCAACAATCCAAAAGTTCCCATGCCCCCTTTTTTTTCATACTCCAAACTGTTCTGTGTGGCCTCAAATTATCAAATGGCCAGACTATACAACAGAAAAAAATAAAGGGATGATTTCCCCTTCTGTGACTAGATAGCTCTTAACTACTATTCCCTGGATAACAGACTGGGAAACTGAGAACTTGGAATGCTGGGGTTCTGCAGCATCTTGTAATTTAACCACATTCAGATACCTGTAAGGAAATGAACATGCCTTCTTCTTCTTTACAAAATGTACATTCATGCTTACATAAAATATATACATGCATGCATGTATATACATATTATTGTAGAGGAACTATTTCCCTGAGAGTACCAGGAAAGGATCAGGTTAAATTTTTCAGGGAGTGCAGTTACTTCTTAGAACTCTGGGCGCCGCTGTTCACCAATCTGGGCGATACGTGCACTACACAATACGCCCAGTTATTTATTTTAAAAAAAAAAAAAAAAAAAAAAAAACACCACCCTGTGACTTGTGACTCTTAGAATATCACCCCTGCTAGGCTAAAAATGTCTACCTGAGCTACCCAACCGTATTTGTGGACAACTCTCGGCTGCAGTTATCTTGAATACTGAGTTAATGTAGGCTCTGGGAAACCAGAGAAACAATAACCTTGGTAACAGACTGAAAGAAAAATAGGAAACCAGAGAGCAATGGCGATTCCAGCGAAGCTGACTGGCTCTGGCCGGCTGATACTGCTGTACCTTTCCCTGGAGCTACTACTGGAAGCCAGGGCTGGGAGTATCCTCTACTCAGTGCCAGAAGAGACTGACAAAGGCTCCTTCGTAGGCGACGTTGCTAAGGACCTGGGGCTGGAGCCCCGCGAGCTGGCGGAGCGCAGAGTCCGCATCGTCTCCAGAGGTAGGTCGCAGCTTTTCTCTCTGAACCCGCGGAGCGGCAGCCTGGTCACTGCGGGCAGGATAGACCGCGAGGAGCTCTGTCTTCAGAGCGCGCGGTGCGTAGTGAGTTTTAACATCCTTGTTGAGGGTGAAATGAAGCTTTTCCCTATCGAAGTGGAAATAATCGATATTAATGACAACACTCCACAATTTCAGTTAGAAGAACTGGAATTTAAAATGAATGAAATAACGACTCCAGGTACCAGAATCCCTCTGCCTTTTGGCCAAGACTATGATGTGGGTATCAACTCTCTCCAGAGCTACCAGCTCAGCTCCAACCCTCACTTCTTCCTGGATGTACAACAAGGACCCAATGGGCCCCAACAACCAGAGATGGTCCTGCAGAGTCCTCTAGACAGAGAGAAAGAAGCTGCCCACCACCTTGTCCTCACTGCCTCTGATGGGGGCAACCCAGTCCGTTCAGGGACCCTCCTCATTCATGTTCAGGTGGTAGATGCAAATGATAACCCTCCAGCTTTTACTCGGTCAGAATACCACACGAGTGTCCCTGAGAATGTTCCATTGGGCACTCGGCTGCTCGTGGTGAATGCCACTGACCCGGATGAGGGAGCCAATGGTGAAGTAACATATTCTTTTCACAATATAGACCACAACGTAGCCCGGATATTTCAGTTGGATTCTTACACCGGAGAAATAGCAAATAAACAATCTCTGGATTTTGAAGAATACAAAGTTTATCCAATGGAAATTCAAGCTCAAGATGGTGCTGGGCTCATGGCCAGAGCTAAAGTGCTGATCGAAGTTTTGGATGTTAATGATAATGCCCCAGAAGTAAGCATCACCTCTGTCACCACTGCAGTCCCAGAAAACTTTCCTCCTGGGGCCATAATTGCTCTTATCAGTGTACATGATCAGGACTCTGGAGACAATGGACGCACCACATGTTCCATTCCTGGAAATATACCCTTTAAGTTGGAAAAATTAGTAGATAATTTTTACCGCTTAATAACAGAAAGAACACTGGACAGAGAACATACCTCTGGGTATAACATCACAGTAACAGCAACAGATCAAGGGACTCTGTCTCTATCTACCCAAACTCACATCTCACTGCTAGTGACAGATATCAATGACAACCCCCCAGTTTTTGAACAGGACTCCTACTCTGTCTACATTCCTGAAAATAACCCCAGAGGGGCCTCCATCTTCTCAGTAAAGGCCCAGGATGCTGACCACCATGAGAATGCACAAGTAACTTACTCCCTGGTGGAAGACATTATTCAAGGGGTACCCTTGTCTTCTTACTTCTCCATCAACTCAGACACCGGAGTCCTCTATGCATTACAATCATTTGACTATGAGCAGTTTCAAAATTTGCAGCTAAGAGTGATGGCTCATGATAGCGGGAACCCAAGACTCAGCAGCAATGTATCTCTGAGCCTGTTCATGCTAGATCAGAATGACAATGCCCCAGAGATCCTGTATCCGACTTTCCCTACTGATGGCTCCACTGGTGTGGAACTAGCACCTCGTTCTGCAGAGCCTGGATACCTAGTGACCAAGGTGGTGGCAGTGGACAGAGACTCAGGACAGAATGCCTGGCTGTCCTACCGCCTGCTCAAGGCCAGTGAGCCAGGGCTTTTCTTGGTAGGGCTGCACACAGGAGAGGTGCGCACAGCCCGGGCCCTTCTGGACAGAGATGTACTCAAGCAGAGTCTGGTGGTGGCTGTGCAGGACCATGGCCAGCCTCCTCTCTCAGCCACTGTAACTCTCACCATAGCAGTGGCTGATAGCATCCCTGATATCCTGGCTGACCTGGGCAGCATCAGAACCCCTGGCAACCCCCAAGATTTGAACCTTACACTCTATCTGGTGGTGGCAGTGGCCGCGGTCTCCTGCATCTTCCTGGTCTTTGTCATTGTGCTGCTGGTGCTCAAACTGAGGCACTGGCACTCCTCACGCTTGCTCCAGACAGCCACAAATGGGCTAGCTGGCCTGCAGGCCACAAATTTGGTAGGGGTTGATGGGGTGCACGCTTTTCTACAGACCTATTCCCACGAGATCTCACTCACTGCAGATTCTCGAAAGAGCCACCTGATCTTCCCACAGCCCAACTATGCAGACACACTCATCAGCCAGGAGAGCTGTGAGAAAAAGGAGTTTCTGTCCGCACCACAGTTTCTACTTGAAGATAAAGAGGAAATATTTTCTCAGGTAAATTTGTAATGAATTTATAAGCTATATCAATGAAAATAATTCATGGTTTTACATACTTGCTTTTACTATTTGCTGTAAAGAGTTCTACTTCATTATACCCTTGTAGTGGTTGGAGGGTGTTTATTTTTGTTTTGTAGGCCTCGTGCATGCTATGCAAGTGCTCTACTAATTTTAAGATGGCATGGTCTGGCCTTAAACTCACTTTGTAACCCACAATGGCATTGAATTTGAAGTCCTCCTACCTTCACCTTCTGGAATGCTGGAATCAGAGGCATCCAGCCACGATACGGGTGGCCTGCTCTTGTAGATTGCTATTGGAAGTCCGGGGAGGATGTAACACAACTATAAATCCAGCACTCTATCTCAAAAAAGGATGGAACTCTTTGGAAAGGAGTCTTTAACCACAGTGTGAGTGGTGAGGATGAAAATTAATGTGTAAAGCCCTATATTTTTTAGGGATGAGCACCGCATTAGAAACAAAGAAATCTGGTTTCTATTTCTTGTCTCTGCCCAAATTGTTTCATTGTTCTAGCTGACTGTCTTCTCAGAAGAGAGAGGTGAGGATCATCTGAACTCGTAATTTGTAGTTGTATCAATACAAAATGATAGTAGTTTATAGGACCTGTGATTTTTCATTATTGACCATATTAGTTCTTTCTTTAATCTATTATTTATGAGATATTCTATGTATGCTTAAAATTTATCTCTTTAAGTAATAAAGTATGAAATTAAGGAAAACATGAACAGAAATTTATCAGGCAACTTGAAACATAGTTTTGAAGCTTCCCTGCTTTTACATTATACATATAATGAAAATTACAAACAAAAGCAATTTTTACTCCATGTTAATGAGTGTTAACTCTTCATAAGGGGAACTGTTCTGAGAAAATAAGTCCATGCCTTGATAAACTCACTCTGCTCCAGTAAATTGCAATAACACATAAAATATAAAAAGAGAAAATCATAAGAACAGTAAAGTATAAATAGAAGATAAACATCCAAACAGACATGCAACAGACCAGAAAGTGTAAGCTGGTCTAAAGCTACATAGACAGGATTGAAGGCCAGCAATGGGACAAAACCGCCTCATTCTAGATAAGGAGCCTGCAATAGGTTTACTGTTTGAATTCAAAGCCACCAATGAGAACCATCAGCTACTTAAAAATCAAGGAGTTGCATGAAATCTTCCCTGCTAGTTTCTGTAATCATACCTTGTTGCAAGCTGAAGACCAAGAAGGATAGATAAACAGATGTGGTCAACACAAGGTCAGTCAGATATGAGCTGTGCTATCCAGATTATCACTGTCACATAGCATTTAATGTGACATTTAAAAAACCTAGTTATTGTCTGGGACTTGGGGTTAAAAATAGTGTCGGGTTTTGTTTGCTGTTGTTGTTGTTGTTATTTTTGTTTTTGTCTTTTTGAAACAGGGTCTCCTTGTAGCCCCAGCTGTCCTGGAACTCACTATGTAGACCAGGCTGGCCTCAAACTCACAAAGATCCACCTATCTCTGCCTCCCAAATGCTGGGATTAAAGGCGAGCGCCACCACGCCCGGCAGAAATAGTGTTTTTGACAGGGTTTCACTATGTTCCCAGGTTCCTTTGAAACTTGCTGTAGGACAGGCTGACCTCTAGCTTGTGATCTTCTCAAACTTCTGAATGAGACAGGAGGATAAGGAGTTTGCGGCTTTATATCCAGTTTGAGGCCATCCTGGGATATATGAGACCCTGTCTGAAAAAAAATAGATCGAGCTCAGGAGAGAAAAAGAAAAGGTGGACTGGATGAGGGAAAAAAAAAAAAACATTAAAACAAAACCATCTTCAACTTAAAATAAATGCACAAGCCTAAATTTCAAGACTCATTGTCTTCCTGGAACTTTTTATGGTTACAAATTAGAAATGTTCTATCAACAGATTGTAAGTTGTCATTATTTTTTAAAATAGTATGCTTTTTTACTATTCTTGTTTTATGTGTATGAGTATATTGCCTACATGTATGTAAGTGCACCTGTATCATACAGTGGCTGAGGAGATCAGAAGAGGGCATCAAATCCTGTGGAACTGGAGTTATGGACAGTTGTTATCCACCATGCAGATGCTAGGAACTGAACCTGAGTCCTCTGCAAGAGCAGCCAGTGCTCTTAACTGCTGAGCCATCTCCCTAGTCCCTTAAATAGTATGAGTTTTTTACTCTGATAGCATTTTTTAAAATATTTTATTTATTATTTTTATTTTATGTGTATGTGTGTATTGCCTGCATGTATGTGAGTGCACCCATGTCATGCAGTGCTGCAGAGGTCAGAAGAGGCTTTCGGATTCCCCTGGAACTGGAATTAAGGATGGTTTGTAGCCACCATGTGGGTGCTGGGAATTGAACCCAGGTCCTCTGTAAGAGCAGTCAGTGCTCTTAACTGTTGAGCTATCTCTCCAGGCCCTACTCTGATAGCATTTTAAGAATTTTTCTCATTATTGCTGTATGTCTATTGGATTTTTATTTTCTTGGGACCAAAATTATACTCTCAAGTAGTAAGTTACTTCAATTCAGTATTTTCTTCATTCTTCTAATTTAAAATTTTCTTTTGTGAATACAGAAATGAGCTACACTTACTAATTAGTGTATTAATTGATTTTAAAATCTATATCCTGTTGACAAGGTAGATGCTTAAAATAAATTTATACTGAAGTATTGAAATCAAGGATTAATGTACACACACAAAAGAAAACAGTTTATAAAATATTAATATAACAACAAAGAAGTATTTAAGGCAACAAACATTAATTATAAATTTGAGAAGTAGGGCTAGAGAAATGCCTCAGCGGTTAAGAACACTGGTTGTTCTTGCAAAAGACCCGGGTTTGAATCCCAGCACCCACATAGCAGCTAACAACTGTCCGTAACTCCAGTTCCAGGGGATCTGACAGCCTCTTCTGTCCTCCGCAGGCATTGCACAACACAGGTGCACTTACCTACATGCAGGCAATACACACATACACATAAAATAAAAATAATAAAGGGGCTGAAGAGATGGCTCAGTGATTAAGAGCACTGACTGCTCTTGTAGAAGACCTGGATTCGATTCCCAGCACCCACATGGTGGCTACGAACCGTCCTTAACTGAAGTTCCAGGGGAATCTGAAGCCTTCTTCTGACCTCCACAGCATTGCATGACATGGGTGCACTCACATACATGCAGGCAATACACTCATACACATAAAATAAGTAAAATAAAAATAAATAAAATATTTTTTAAGTAATAATAAATAAAATATGTTTAAAAATTTGAGAAATGGGGGCTGAAGAGATGGCTCAGTGGTTAAGAACACTGGCTGTTCTTGCAGAAGACGGTTTTGAATCCTAGCACCCACATGGCAGCTAACAACGATCTGTAACTCCAGTTCCAGGGGATCCAACAGCCTCTTCTGTCCTCCACGGGCATTGCATGACATATATGCACACATATATGAGTAAATTTACAAAGGTGTGTACGAGTGTGTGCACGCACGTGTGTGTGTTTGTGTGTGTTATATTTGAGATAGGCTCTTGTTATATAGCCAAGGCTAACCTTGAACCTGCTATCCTCCTGCCTCAGTCTCTCAAATGCTGTATAATTTCTTCATAAAGCAAACAAAATGATTTACAATGAATGATAACAAAATAAGGCTATAAAATTTTGAAATGCAAACAAGAAGACTTTTGCCAATTAAGCAATAAGCAGACAATAGACGTCATATAATACAAAAGAGAGAAAATGAGAATTCTGTCAAGACAAATATTGGCTAGGCAAATGCTTGACTAAAATTCTTTTTTCTAAAAATCCTAGGAGAAAATCTGAAATTCTGAACAAAGACACAAGCCTGGAAAGGGGGAAAGAGACTGAGAAATTATAAAACAACTTGGTATGAAACAAGAATCATAAATAAGTAAAATATATATATATATATATGAAAGCCAGATATTGTCAAAGACAAAAACAAACAAAAATAACATTAATAAATCTTCCAGGAATTGTAATGAGACATGCTGAGCATTTATTTAATAAGACCAACAAGCATCAGAAAGATGCTGATGAAAATTTTTTAGTTTTTTGTGCTTTTGCTTTTGTTCTGAGCTGGAGATTGAACCCAGGGCCTCACACATACTCATCCAGTGAGCTACATTCCCAAACTTTTAAAGCAAACTTTTGAAAAAGCCAACTAGAGCTGGAAGTGTCACTCAGCGGTTTATCACTTACCTATTATGCTTGAGTCCCTGGGTTTGATTTATTGCAAAAACAAAGTAGAGACTCTATTAGAAAACACAGTGACATTATATAGTTTCCAATCAATATTTCATCTGTGTTCTCAAAGGAATGGATGAAAATAATAATGAAAAAAGTTCAATGTGGAAGAGCTAAAATGCAAAATACCGACATACAGCCTGGGGCTGTAAAGATGGTTCAACATTTAAAATGCTTGCTCAGCAAGCAAGAGGCCTGGAATTGGGATCCCTGTCCCATGTAAATGCTGGGTAAGCATAGAGCCTTGCCTGTAATTCCAGCTTCAGAGACAGATGAGAATCCCCTGAGCAAGCTCGCTAAGGAGACTAGCATATTGGCAACTCTGGGTTTGGCTGAGAGACCCTGCTTCAAAAGAATAAACTGGAAATCAATCAAGGAAAACACCTGAAGTCAACCACAGGCTCCCACAGACATTCACATGCATGTATACCCACACACATGTGAACACAAATACACACATATGCAAAAAGATAAGGTAGACAGTAGTGGATGAAGACACTCCATAGCAACCTCTGACCTTTCCACACATGCACACACCCACATAAACACATACACTTTATAGCACACACAAATACACAAAAAAGATTATTAAAGATTAAAAACAATATGCTTATTTCAGTAGAATAAGCATAAGTTTGCTAAAAGGGTAGAATCATAAGCTGAATCAGCTTATGATTCTACCCTTTTAGCAAACTAAGAAAAGAGGAAAGCTTCCTTAGTATAATCAGCTGATATTAAAAACTCATAGAACTACTTGAAATTATCTACATATTCACTGAAATCCCTCTCAAAACTCTAATAATGGGACTTTTGAAAGAAATAGGAAAATCCATCCTGAAGTTCATATGGAATCTCAAGGGATACCGCCCCCCCCCCGCAAGCATACAAAACAACCTTGAAAAATAACAACATTGGAAGTCTCATACTCACTAATTTCAAAGCTTACTACAAATGTACAAAAATCAAAGAATGTAGTACTGGCATAAAGTCAGACATGTAGACCAGTAGAATAGAATCCAGAAATGAACCCTCACATATGGGATTAAATTTTCCACAAGGATGCCAAGATAGAAACAAAAATTAACCCAAAAGTGACCAAACACTTAAGCATATAAGAGCTTAAATGTAAAGTTCTTAGAAGAAAATATAAAGAAAACTTCACAGGGTTGGATTGACAACAATTTCTTAGATATGACATCAAAATCACAAATACCAAGAGAAAAAGTAGGTAAGTTAGACCATATCAAAATTAAAAACTTTTGTATATTAAATGACAGTATCAAAAGAGCAAAAGGAATGGAATGGGAAAAAATATTTCTAAATCATTTAAACTGATGTCCTGAAAATGTAAGTAACTCTTACAAATCAGCAACAACAACAAAAAAGAACCAGATTTTAAAATTAGAAGACTTGAAATAGATAGTCCTTCACAGATGACATGCAAAAAGCCAAAAGCACATGAGAGGATTTCTGACATCAAAACCATAATGAAATACCATTTTTACTTGTTTTGATGGCTATTGCTTTAAAAAATAAAATATAACAAATATTGGTAAGGATGTGGAGAAACCAGAACCCTTCTGTATTGCCGACGGTAATGAAAAATGACACCACTATTGTGGATTTCTCAAAATGTAAACATAATTACCATATACTCCGACAACTCTACTTTGGGGAATATGCACAAAATAAGTGAGCACAGGGACTTGTAGATATACTTGTCTGTGCAACCATGTTCATAGCATCATTCACAATAGCCAAAAGGCGGAAGCAACTCAAATGTCCATTGACAGATGAATAAACAAAAGATGATATACATACATGACATTAAGCCTCCAAAAAGAGGGGAATTTTGACAGAAACATGAATGAATACCAAAGAAATTGTACTAAGTAAAATACTATAGTCAGAAAAGTACAAGTACTGTATGGCTCTTCTTATGCAAAATTCCTAGATTGGTCACATTCAAAATGATAGTTATAAAATTCTTGGGAGGAGAGGAATGTGGAGTTAGTGTTTAATAAGTTCAGATTTTCAGTTAGGGAGGATGAAATGGTTCCGGCGGTGGACAGTGATGAGGGTTACTCAGTAATGTAATGTGAATGAAATGCCACAAAACAGAAAACAAAAGTATCAAAATATGATACTTTATTATGTGTATTTACCATGATTTTTAAGGGGAAACAAAAGTCCAGCTGGGCTGGGAGTGCATTCATGCTATCCCAGCACTTGGTAGGCTGAGGCAGGCAGACTATCAAAAGTTCATGGTCAACTTGGCAACTTGGGCTACATAACAAGACCCTGTCTCAAAAAAGGGGGGGGTTTAGAAAGATGACTCAGTGGTTAAGAGCACTGACTGCTCTTGCAGAGGACCTAGGTTCAAATCTCAGCACCCACATGGCGGCTAACAACCATCTGTAACTTGAGTTCCAGGGTATCTGACATCCTCTTCTCATCTCCTCAGGCATTGCATGACATGGATGCTCCTTCCTACATGCAAGCAATACACTTATACACATTAAAAAAATAATAATAGGGGCTGGAGAGATGGCTCAGTGGTTAAGAACACTGGTTGTTCTTGAAGAAGACCTCAGTTCGAATCCCAGCACCCACATGGCAGCTAACAACTGCCTATAACTCCGATTCCAGGGGATTCGATACCCTTTTCTGAGCACTGCATGAAACAGGTGCACTTACATACATGCAGACACTCATACACATGAGATAAAAATAATAAATATTTTAAAGTGTGT